AATAGATCTGCCGTGTTACGCCTCGTGTCCAAGATACACGATCTTTCAATTAAGCCGGTGTTGGAAAGAGGATCCGCGGACGATTTGCTCGCCAGATGTCGGAGGTGGAGGAGAAATAAAGGTTCTCGTGTAGATCGAAAGGACAGGTTACATAATAAAACACGAGCGCAAAAAGTCAAGTTTCTCAAGTACTTTCGCGTCGAACGTTTTTCTTTCTTTTCTCTCTCTCTCTCTCTCTCTCTTTCTCTTCGAGTGAATCGATGAATTTTAGAGCGCGTATTTTATTACACGACACGCGCGCCCTTCGAAATTCCCACTTATCTCTCGAACGATCGCGAAATGGAGCAATTGAACACGCCGAAAATGGCGCCTCTGTTCGATTTCTGACGTAATTCGGCCCATTGATTGACGCAGCATTGATACGTCGATCGTTTGCTACGTAATGTGTTACGTTAAAACGTTCGAGTGATCGAAGAAAGGATTAATTAGATTAGCTATTTTGCGAATGGTATGATTTCATGATGATATATTCAATGCAGGTTATTCAGGAAATTTACATTCTATGCGACTCCGCGGAGGAAATTAATGGTTTCACGTTCTCAGGATATATGAAGTAGTGAAGAGGTAAACTGTTTATAGTAGGTAACTGTTTCTTAAGAAAATTCTTCTCAAATTGATTTTATCGTTAAATTTTTTTTAACATGATTTATTCGTATTATTAAATAGAACTCGTCTTCAGAAATAAATCTCAGTTGACTTTTTTTTTTAAATATGAAAAATATGTATTTATATATATATAAATCTTAATAAATAAAAATAAATAAATTAATAAATAAAAATTAATAATTAATAATTAATAGTAAATAAATAAAAATTTATCTAATTGAAAAGAATTTCATCAAGCATAAAAGTCTTTTCTATTATCATAATACTTATTATCATAAAGCACGACTAATTAATGAAAATCCAGATCCGTTACGCGGCATCGAATAGGAACAACAAAAAGAAATTCTTTCAATTAAAAATCTGGCTTTACTTGTTTAATACCATAACTTAATTACAATTAATTAACTAGAATAAAATCTTTGATTTAAACAGATAAAAAAGATAAAAAAAGATAGATTAAAAAAAAATATTACAAAAATGACGAAATATCGTTCTGCAAATGATCAAAAAATGAAATAAGATAATTCAAAGGAGGATCGTGACTAAGATTCGGATAAAGGCGATATTTGTCACTTTTCCTCGGCTCCAATTGGAACTACAAGGTTTTCAGAGAAAGCAACGTCATTTGCATAAGGAGTTCGCGATATCAGCGTCAATGGACGATCGAATATTGAAATTGTGTCTCACCACATCTATATCATTATCCAGAATCCCTTGAACCAATTATAATTCTCGATATTAATTCATTTTTTTTAATGGATAATTTTTCTTGTTTCGTTTACAAAAACAATTTCTATATTCATAAATGGAATGCCAAATATATATTATTGATACTATCCTTAATAATAAAAAAATTAAAAAAAGAAATATTTTCTGAGACTGTTCGACTGAAAATAATTTTACAAGGACTTTGCCCGAGGGCCATATCGAGTCACTCTGGAGCACCCACGCCACTTTACGATCCCAAATCACGGTTATCAATTAATCAACACGTTTAACCCTGTCGTCATTCGACCCCCGTAGTGAACAAAATGGAAAGGACAATCCTTTCGAACAGTATAGTTAAATAGTCAACCTACTTTTCACGCTATTCGTAATTTACCAACTATTTATCCAAAGAAAAATATGCATATAATGATATTCGTTTTTTGTTGATCAATTTTCTGCATACTCAACATTTCTCTAACTACATTAAACGTATCAGAAGAAAAAGATCAAAGAATTTCTACCAATCTTGGATCATTATTCCCAGAGTACCGATAATGGCCTCATAACTTAAGATCGAAATGCATGTGTATCACCCTGTCAACTGTGTGTTACAAAAGCACAATCACTTTTCTTCACCTCGAATCGAACCTGACAGAGGAACGCAACAAAATTCTTTGCTACCATTAAGGGGAACATATTTATAACCGACGATTTCACGAAGGACCGTTCTCAAGACTTTTACTTCGTGCTTCCTTTCGTCGGTAGCACGGCAACAAAATGCTCCAGTTTCGATAAAGGGGTGTTGAGCAATCGATAATGACCACAAGTCAAGTTAGTACGATATTGCTACCTAAGAACAATTGCAATTTTCCATTGTTTCGAACGATACGAGTAAACCAAAATAATGTCAAAATATAGGGAAAAAAGATACTTACTGTGTATTTAATTTTCTATCTCATAAGAAAATGGAAAATATTTATTAAGAAATAAAGTACAATCGATTTATTTCTAATATAATTTTTATATATTTAATAAAAAGTTTATTAAATTTTAAATATATTCAGTATCTTTTATTAATTGCACTATTATTTACGATAAATTATGATAAAACTTTCATGTAGTCATTTTTTAATAAAAAAATTTATAAAATATTTATATTTATAAAATATTATTTTCTTCGCTTTAAATTTAGTCTAGCTATTTTTTATATCAACAATTACCTGTGAAATGAATGATTTTTAATTTTTTAAATAATTAGAAAATAATTATATAATCGATAGAATAATAATTGTGAACGAATTTTATTTCTCACACTCACTTTTCCTGGAGATTTATTATTAAGAATAAATTCCAATGCATCATTTACTTTTGGCAATCCAACAGTTAATACAGATGTTGGATTAATCAAACCTTCCTCAATAAATTGTAAAACATCATCTCCGGCTTGTCTAGTTGAACAAATATAAAATTAAAAGAACATCACATAATTTAAATTTAAATCTAATTTTTTTTATAATTATTATTATTTCTTAATAATTTATTAAGAAATAAAATTTATGAAATATTTTAGTTTAGTAATAGTTATTATACCGATATATCTCAGGCTCCTTCTTCCTAAATTCTCTTAAATTGAATCCATTAATAGTAAAACCATTCTTTGATGCATCAGAATCATTTTGTATAGTTGCTGTTGTACCAGCAATCACTATCCTCCCTTTATAATAAAAACATTGAATAAATCGTCCAATTTAAAATGATTACTATTTTTAAATTGTTTCTGTACCTTTGTGAGAAAAATGATGTAATATAACAGCAAAATTATCATCACGTAACAAATCTTGTATTGTTATTTCATTTTTGTAAATATTAGTAAAACTAAAAATATAACATAGTTACTACCATTACTTTTAATTTAACTAAAATCTCACATAAGAATCAATTTTCATTAAACTTACCAATTTAATACTTTTTTTAAATGTTCGCCATTTGCATCATCAAAGATTTTTTTAATATCTTTCTCTGTAGCAACTTCTTCAATTTGTTTTAATAATTTACGATCTTTATATTTAAAAGAAGCAAACACACCTTTTTCTCTAGCAAGAGCTGCTCCATCTTCAGTAGCACAAACACTAATTACCTGAATTAATAATCATCGCGAACTTATAACAAAAAGTAACTACATTAGATTTTTTATTTGATATATATTCATATAAATCTCAAGTATTAAATTCTAACCTGAGCTTTAAATACATTTGTAGCAAGATCAACTGCAGCTAAACCAGTGCTACTTATACCAATATTAATAAAAATGATATCTTCTTCTAGAATGCTAACTTTATTTTCTAATGCGACTAAAGCTGTAATATAATCATCGAGTAAACCCACTACATCAACAGATTTTATCTCAGATGGTATTTTCCAGATATCCTAAAATTTTGCGTTTATAATAGAATAAAATACAAATGATTAATTGAAAGAAATCATCAACAGCTTACAGTAATTTCTGCTATACACTGTTGAGCTAAACCTCCATAACGTTCCTTATTAAGAGCAATAACCTTATCCCCAATTTTATATCCTTCTTTTTCTGCTTCCTCCCCAACTTGAATCAATTTTCCAACAAACTCATAACCAAGTACCATAGGTAAAGTTGGTTTAAATGCATGTAAATTTTTTGCTAATAATGCATCTGATGCATTGAAAGCACAATAATCAACATTTACAAGGACCTACCAATGCAAAGATACATTTACTTTTTAATAAGAAATCTATCTAAAGTCTAATTTATTATTACAAAAGAAATTACTTAAATTTAAAGAATTTTAAGAAAGAATTTAAATTTAAATTTAATTTAATTTAAATAATCTAATCTATCATAAAAAAAATATAAGATATTTCAATAATTTTATTAAATAAAAGCATATTAAAATTAACTTTTAGAAAATTATTAAATTTTTTTAATTAAATCTATAATAGTTTCATATTCATTCATTAGTTTGTCTAATTCTAAGCTATATAAAAAATTATTGTGCATTTTGCTTTTATTGTTTTTTATATTAAGTTCCTCTTTATTATTTATATAAACAATATCATTGTATATGATATAAAATATATAAAAAACATTGTCTAGTTCAAAATATCAGAATTCTAATTCAATTATTAGAAAATTGATATTAGACAATTAAAAGTATTTAAAAATAGAACAAAGATACTTTAAAACTTGTCATTTAAAATTGTAAATCTTTACACATTAAACTTACTTCATTTGCTTGCAATATTTTAGGAGATTCAATATTTTCTAAAATAAGTGGATCAGAGAATTTCTTCAAAACTGCAGCAGAAATTTTGCCTGGTTCTGAAGCCGGCATACCACTTTTTGCATTTTCTTTTAGGTTGGAAGACTTTTCATTTTCAATAGAACTAAAACTAACAATTCTTGAACGCATTGACTTTTTCAAATGATTATTACAAAAATGTGCAAAAATTCTTCTGCTTACTAATGTCGACATTTTTTTTACAACTTAAAATTATTATTCAAAATGCAAGAATAGCACCCACACAAAACTTTACAGAACCATTTGCTGAATACGAACGCGCATGCGCAATGCTTTAATATCGAATTTCAAAATTTTAATATCGATGAGCCTAAAATCGAAATGAAACACTTTCGTATATCGATATTTTAAATCTTTAACGAAACAATTTTAAATTTATCGCAGTTAACTGTGGAACATACGTCGTAATGTAAATTTACAATTTATTTAAAATAGTGTTTAATAAAAAATAACGTGGAAAAAGTGTTCAGTGCAAATATGTTATATGTGAATTATGGAATAAACACTTTAAGCTACGTTATATCAAGTTTTCAATTATTTTTAGACATCAAATTTAAAAAGGTCAGTAAAAGAAAATTTCATTTTCATTATATCGCCATTTATCAAATGCATTTGCAAATGCATCAGATCTTTTTTATTGATTTTATTGATTAATGTTCATTTAATTATTTAAATATCTATTTTCTATTCATTCATATTCTATTTATAACATATTTTTAAAAAATTTGTAATTTAATTCTATGTATAATGTGAGGTATACAATTTTGATTATATATATTATAGTTTTGAGATTTCGTTACATTCGTACAAAATAAAAAATATATAGCAATGAAGTAACTCACCTATCGCCAAATGTATGAAATATCCAAGTCTTGATGAAATTTTCGTGACTGTTAAAGGACATGTAGACTGTTTCAGTGAAAACGTCGTAGAATCCATAGTCAAAAATCTACTATCAAATAGAAAAGAACGCAAATGAATTAAAAAAAAGTACAAATATGAAAATTTTAACTTAATATTAAATATAAATTTTAACTTAATAATTGACAAAATTTTATTCAATGATATATTATTTTATACTACTATAAAAAATATATAAAGTTATTAGCATAAAAATAATTAAAATAGGAGAAAAATTAAACTTTTGCTATGTAAAAATTTTCGCTAATTTTTATCTTAAGTTAATTTCTAAATTATCAAAATTTGATCAAATTAATGGATTTTATGAGAAATAACAGAAAAAAACAAAAATACGATGTTTCGCAATATGATGCAATCTCGATAGTTTTCATTGCAGAAAAATTAATAAAATCATAATAAATAAAAAAAATTAATATTTATAAATATAATTGTTTCTTAAAGAAATAGTTATTAAAGTATTCTTCACTATACCTGATAAACAAGATAAAACTTTACACAACACTTGTTTCGTTTGATTTATTCACTGAAATTAAAGCTAATTAAAAACTTTTAATTGAAAACAAATAAAAAATTTGAATATAAACTTTAACAGGAAGTACAAATGCTAAAGAGTAGTCGCGAAACTGTTACCCCAATGATGTTCAAAGAGGGAGTGATTTAGTCGATTTTTGTTTCTTCCAACAAAGTCAAGTCTCCCCACCAAGCTTCTACTATATTTTTTTTTTTTCTGAACATTCCCACTAGTTTGTTATTGCTTTCTCGTTGGAAAATATTTTTATTATCTAGATTTTTGAAATATAGATCTTTAATTTATTAAAAATTGTTATTGTGTTATCGATTATTTAATAAAATATTATTAAAAATATAGGAAAATCTATTGAATACATGGAAAAGGATAAAATGATAAAATACAAAATATTTGAACTTTATTTATTGAGTTAATGTATAATTGCAACTGATTCTTCTCTTTTTTTTTTTTTTTTTGTTTTAATGATTGTTACATTATTATATTTTATAACAGAGAATTCATTATATATAAAAGACTATGAAAATTAAGTACAACATTTATGCAACGAATAAAAATGGCTATAGAAGATTCGCCTTACATTTTAATTCTGTTAATGATTAATAGAAACAAAAGAAAAGAAAAACATATAATATGTTTCTATGTTAAAAAAAAAAAAAAAAAAAATAAAAAAAAAAAA